CTTTTTCAAATATCACTGCCATTAACAGCCAGACAGATACACCTGTGGGAGTCCTATCCACTCACTGCAATAAAGTTTGTAAGGGGTAACCTGGTGTGTTATCCTTTAGCAGAGAACTTAAAGCAATTAAAACAAAAGGGAGAAGTAACCTAGTGTGTTATCCTTTAGCAGAGAACTTACTTAAAGCAATTAAAACAAAAGGGAGATTTGGCATTAACCTTTTAACTTCCCTTGGGCTGAAAACATTCATAGTCCCAAGAGCAATTTTTAACAGCCAAGAAAAATTCAACAGCAATCAGGATTGCTACAGTTGTCTGAGTCTTGCTGCTCCTGCCTAATAAGAGAGAAGAGGAAATGCTGAAAATCAAGGACAGTCAACAAACAACACTTCTAGCAAGGCTGCATAAAACATGAAAATATGCAGCTGTGCAACCAGCACGTGCAACACAAACGGTATCTCAGGCTGCCCAGCATGTAACTGCCTTTGCTCCTGACAAAATACTCCTGGCCTGGCCACTAAAGGGTTGAGGAGCTAAACAGGAAGCACCACACCATGTTCTTCCTCTCACACTGAAGCTGCGGATTGCTCTGGACAACCCTGCTACCTCTGCCCCCTTAATCTATATCCACCACGCTGCTATCCTGAGTGGTAATCAGGAGGCACATAAACTGTAGGGGAGAGAAAGGCTGGACTTCTGGCAATACCAAAAAGTCACATAAGATGTCCAAGCTTAAGATGTCAAAGGTGAACAATCTTAAGTCTGAGGTCTCTCAATGACAGCTGAAATCATGCTGGTTTTAGAAGCTGATACTAATTTATACCTATACAAGAAAAAAATATATATACACACACATAAATAAATTAAAACATCAAAAACACTCCCATATTCATATTCTCAACAGCATTCCCTCCTCATAAAGATATAAGGCCCTAGACTGCTGAGATGATCTGTAGTTTGAGATACCTTTGCTATTGAATACTCAAACTGATGAGGCAGAGGGAGAAAAAAATCTTCCTCCTACAGTCAGTTAGAAACCTTGGACAGACTTCCAAAACAAACATTAGCAAGTTCTGAATAGATCTTCTAAAAGTTAATCTTCCATAATAAAACAGTCACATAACCTTTCGCAAAACATTCCCAAGCCTTAAAGAGCCACCCCGGCCATCACAAACACACGACCGGGCACGGAGCTCTCTGCAGCTCCATTCAAAAGTCCATTCTCAGGTCTCCAGCTACACATCCAAAGCCTGCCATGGGCCTGCTCCTCCTTCTCTAATGCCACATCTACTAGTTCTATCAGTAGTAGAATTCTACTAGTAGAATATTTACTCCATAGATACTCTAAGAGGTTGCCAACTTCTGAAGGCTACAATTTTTTTTATTTAGATAACCTGTTCCTGTTAAATTTCAATGACCATCTATCTGCTATTTACAGTCAAAACTGACAACCAGAAGCTGTACATGCGTGACCACGTGCTGAAGGCACATTCAGGATATTCAATGTGTTCATGTGTTCGGAAGAACGTGTAAGATTTCTAGCCTTGTTTCAGTGTTTAAAGTACCTGAGAATTATGCAGGTATTAAAGTAGGAGAGACTCATGAATATTCATGGGTATTAACTAAAATATGTAAACATGCTTAAAAAAAAAGGTTTCTCTCTACAAGACTAGCTGAAAAGAAAAACCCCAAACAGCAGAAGCTGGAGAGTAATCACAATTTTAGCTAAAGAACTGAGGAGTGGGAAGTTTGCACCGTTCAAGAGTGGAGTTACACCTAACAGAAAGAATGGGATCTTTATGGGAGCTACATGGCCTTTCTATTCCAAAGTGTCGGGTTGTGATCAGCGACACAAAGTCCAGTTGCAGGACAGTCACTAAGGGTCACCCTCAAGGGTTCAGAGAGTGGGGAATATTCTCAATGTTTGTAAGTATTTGATGGGAAGATGTAGAAAGGATGGAGCCAGATTCTTCTCAGAGATGAGATGAGAGGCAATGGGCACAAACTGGAACATAAGAAATTCCACCTGAACATAAAAAAAATGCACCTCTTTACTGTGGAAGTTGTTGAACACTGGAACATTTTTTTTATTATTATCATCACTTTTTCAGAGAGGTTGTGAAGTCTCCATCCTCCTTGGAGACAGTACAAACCCAACTGGTTTGGGTCATGGTCCTGGGCAACCTGCTCTAGCCAACCCTCCCCAGTGCAGGAGGGTTCAATCAGCTGATCCCAGAGATCCCTTCCAATCCAGATTACTCTGCAATTAGGCACTGCAGGGTATTTGACACTAAGGTGTTACATTCATAAATGAGAAAACACACTTAGTAAGCTAACAGTGTTGTCACAAGCCTCAATTCCATCATACTATCATTTCTTAGATATGGATATTACCTAATTGTGGGGAGGAGAAGGGAAAACAGGACAAAAACCAAAATGATGAAGAATGAGAAAAGATTATTCTCGCTCCTTGCCTCTGTATCATAGCAGGTGAGGTCAGGTATAACAAGATTCCCCTGTTCCCAATTCCAGCAGTGATAAATGGATTTTAGGAAACCTTCTTTAACTCTTTCATTGTGTTTTTAGATCGTTCCAATATAAAGCAATAGATATTACAACATAAAAATAAATTTTATATAATTATTTTGCACCCTGCAAGATATCACAGTCTATTTACGCACAGCCTATTAACCTCTGCTAAAAAGACTTACATGATTATCCAAGGTTGATTACTTGCATGGACCGCAATTTTGCAGAAGAAACTAGGTAGATAAATTACTTCCCTGGTCTATTCAGACTGCAGATTTGTCCATAGATATCCTTTTTTTTTTTTTTTTTGACACTGAAGTTCATAAATTAATGCAGTGAGAAGAGTAAAATACAGTTTAGAGCCCGAGATGAGATAAGCTACAATCATCCTACAGATATCCATGCTGGTTCAGTACCTCACAATGAAACCCTGATTCAAAAGCACCTTTCAGAACTCTAATCTACTGTCTCCTAATACATATTCTCCCCTTATTCCCCAGCTCCATCACTGTAGACCTTGGGTTTGGCTCCCACTCCCTCTGGACTTTTACAGCAGAATAGCTCCTGTTGCTCCACATTGGCACGCTGCTGAGTGCCACAGAGCTCCTTCGCATCATTCGAAAAATACTCACAGACATCCCCATCCATGGGATTTTTATTGATCTGGAAATAACAGACTGATTTGGCAGCGATGTTTGCTCACTCTTTTTTTTTTTTTTTCAGTTCATTCACACACTGTTCCTAAATGCCCAACATGGCTCGCACATTCACGGGCACTAGGACCAAAGCACAGTTAACTCTACCTTTCCCTTGCAACTTCAGGTTGAAAATGCATAAAGACGGTGCAAAAGGAAGAGCTGCCAGTACCAGAGGCTCTCCAGCACAAGTCAAGGGAACAGTCAGCAAAATTCTTAAACTGGGCCTCAACCTGCTCCTCTCCCTCAATTCTCTCCTGCCTCTCAGCAGCTCTACAGCACCCAGCTCCTCTTCTCCTCCCTTATGCTTTCCTAGCTTCTTTATCACAGTGGTCTCTGGTCCACTTTCTGGCAAAGACAGAGTGCCAGTACCAGAGGCTCTCCAGCACAAGTCAAGGGAACAGTCAGCAAAATTCTTAAACTGGGCCTCAACCTGCTCCTCTCCCTCAATTCTCTCCTGCCTCTCAGCAGCTCTACAGCACCCAGCTCCTCTTCTCCTCCCTTATGCTTTCCTAGCTTCTTTATCACAGTGGTCTCTGGTCCACTTTCTGGCAAAGACAGAGAAGGCAAGAGGCAGAGACAAGCTCACACTGACCGATATGCTAGGGGACATTAAGCATACTTTATGTCGATCAAAGCTGGACCTATACCTTCCTCCTCACTCTATAACCCCTTCTCACGCCTCCTCTAAAGCAACTGCCAACCTCACAGCTGCTAGGCAGCGCAGCTGTGTGTGTTACTTGGCATTTCTTATTTCTCAAACTGTCTTTCCCATTATGTTTCACCTCCGTTTTCCTTTTTTTTCCTAAAAATAGCTCCATCTTTCTTTATAGTCCCTGAAAACGAAACTGATATAAAATGCACTACTCTATCAGCTACTTTAATTTTCTAATGGGTTTATAATGTACAAATTGGTACCTCCTCACTGCCTGAACATACATTTTGAAGGCTTCCCTGAGGCTATCCCCAAAGAATCCTCTTTCTCTACAAGAAAGGGAGCCTTTTAGCTCTTCCTGAGGCTCCTGCCACGGGATGCTGCACGTCTGTGGTACTCCGGGGCCCAGGGTGCTGCCAAGCACGCTCCGCGCACAGTTGTGCTGCTGGAAGGCAAGCGCATATGGAGAGCGCTGTGCTGACACGCACTTCCTTGCCCAACTGTCAACTGTTGCACAAATACAGCCAAAGTGCCCTGTTGCAGAAACAATCTTGAAAGATTGCAAAGACAAGGAAACAGTTCTGTAGAATTGCTACTGCCATTTTTCTCAAACACAGCTTTTCACTGATGCACATCAAAGCTAATGTTATTGCCACGATCGTGAGCCATTTCCTACAGCAAAGCACAAAAAAAATCTCAATTCAGATTTGTTGCTTCAAAATGACAGTACTAAATCTGTTATTGTTATTAGCGTTACAGGAATGAGGCCAGGTGTTGAGAGGTAACTGTGCCCGCAAATATGCATGAATATTCTTTGTAGACACTCAGTCATGATCACACCAGGGAAGTATTTAATGTTTGTGAAACAGAGGCAAAAGAACGTGAATTGTTTGGAAGAGGAGTGAGTCAAACTCCTGTGTGTTGATATTAATCAATGGACTGTGCTTGCTTACAGGTCTAAAATTAATAAAGTGATTGGGAAGTGAAAGCATCCAGCACAAATTAATGTCCTGCCAATGATAAAATACAGGTCTCCCAATACACATCTTTACTAATTCCATTAGACCATGTACTGTACTAAGGTTATCCTACTGAAAATTAGGCTTAGAAAAATACATTTACCAAGCAGGAACCAGCTGCTAGCACGTCCTGGATCACCCCTGGCTCCAGGAGGATCTGTAAAGAAGAAAACAGAAGCTTGTTAGAAAGAACTCAGAGCATTTGTAGAAAACTCTACAGGCCTTTGATTCTTCAGAGATTTAAGTCAACAAAAAGAACAGAAAGAGTAAAATCAAGCACATACAGAGATTTTTGAAGGATGGGAACAGAATTTTAGAAGTTCACTGCAAGCGTCCAAAGAATTTTTAAGCAGATTGGTCTTTAAGTGCCCATGAACTACATCACCCCAACATTCTTTAAAATTAAATGCATGATATTTTAAAAAGAAAACTTTTCAACATAACAGAACACCCTTTTGTTATCAACATGCCTGGAGGTTTCCATATATATTGATGAAATGGGATAAGAGAATGGACTCTGAATTCCCCAGATTTCTCAAGCATGTTAAAAAGTGCAGGCACACCCTTCCCATCCTGCATGGTACCATTTCCTGACTTTCATAACCACTATCTTGGTTTTACAGGGCAAGGTTGGGAAGGCACAGAGTGAGAACGCTGCTGGGGGGCTGCCAGAAAGGGCTTGGAGACAAAGCCTGATTATCCTGACACTTGTTCACATGAAACTCCCACTCATTTCAATTAAAATAACGCACAGGCAGCAGCCAGGGTAACTGGTCTCAGTTCCCAGCCTGCTGTCTTGGGTCAGTTTGCTAGAACATCCCTCTCAGGATATTAGAAAATGCCTGGGACCACAGATCAACGGTCTGTCAATGATCAGCAGTCAATTTCGATCATCAAGCACATTACAAACTACCAAAACGAGTATAATTTCATGACAAATGGTGCAGCACTCATTACAATCTGAAAGACATGAGAACTAACACTGATTCTGCAATGATGCTAAGGCTGTGCAGGGCTTTATCCTCATCGCAAGCGTTTCCCCCAGCAGCTTTGGCTTCACACCACATGAGGTCAGTCTCTCACTGCTCCACAGGGAGGTAAAGCTGCTTTCGGTCCCCATACTCCCTCCCCCTCCCTTTTTTTTTTAAATTTTGCACACACACTGTAGTTATATGTCTCAACCACAGAGGAATAAGGAGGTAGAATAAAAAAAGAACACAAGATCACCTGCATCTTCTATAGTCAAATTAGTTTTAAGAAGATGAAAAAAATAGGTGCACATCTCTCCACACTAAAACAAAATTGCCTCCCACACAGGTGATCTTTTGGAATGGGGAAAAAGGAAAAAAAAAAAAAAAAAAGGAATGAGCTCTTGTTTACACCAAGAGCTTATTTACACTGAGTTCTGGAAGCATATGTCATACTTATAGCTTCTACAAATTACTGCATACTCATGTGAAGTCTGAAGTGACCATACGTGTGATTTATATGCAGTACAACACTTCCTTTAGTCAGCCAGGAAGACATTCAAGGAACTCAGTGTAAATGAGAATCTGGCCCAGCATGACCTAGGTTTGCAGCTGATGCTACCTAGGTTGCTGAAAAATACTCCACTCAAGGGAAATCTGGACTGGATTTCAGTTATAAAAACACCTTTCACACCCACAATTTAAAAAATGTGTAGCACGGTCAAGACTTCCACAGGGAGAACTCAGGGTCAGATTGACAAAACACTCAGCTAATATTCTCCAGGGCCCGCTGCTTTAGACCTACAATGTTTATTATTCAGACACGGTTTCTACTGAACAAGTTCTGTCACCTGGACTGATGTCACATTACTTGTTAAATGCCAGCCACGGGCTTAATGTGGGTAAAGACACAATAGATGAACTAGAACCCTAAGCAGATTAGTGTTGTGGGCACAGATATAAGCTCTATTTAACTGTGTGAAATATTAATATATTTTAAAGCTAGAGCAAAGCGTTTACAAATAATATACCATGAGCATCAGCATGAGATAAGTAGGACAGAAGCAAGGGTCACTGCTTACTACATAGAGGGAATCTGCACAAAATCAGCAACAAAAGTTAAGGTGGCAGCCACTTGAAAGAGCACCATGTAATTTTCCAATAGTCCAAACTTTCAGTTCTAACTAAAATAGTTAGAACTTTGCAAAATTAGTTATAGGATCAAGTTGTTGGGTTTTTTTTTCTCATTTCTTACAAGTTTCTCAGCCCACCCAAGATGAGATTCTGCTGAGAAAACACGTCCACTTTTATGATTCCCAAGAGTACACAGATAAGTCTTTTGCTTCTCTTCCCCAAGGCTTCACCTTAAATTGAACTGTCTGAATTTCTACTCAATTCCCATTTGGAAATACGCAAAAATGCTTGTGCTAAATGTTCACATCAGCAAAATGCATTAGAGAGAAATCCACACAAAAAAAGAAGGACAATGAGTAAAGAAGAAAATATTTCATGCCCTCCTACTGAACTTGGGGCAACTGGCAATTACTAATAAACCTCTTAACCTTTCTATATTAGTAGATTACCGTACATATATATATTTTTTTAAAATCACCAGCACATCTGTTTATATGCTTTACAGGCTGCCTAGCTCAACCGTAAGAGTAAATACACGTAAATACCACTTCAAACAACGCCAAATAAACACAGGGGCTGCCTCTCCTCTGCTTATCTGTTCAACATCAAAACAACAGCTCTGAGGTCTAGAATGACACGGATAAGAGAACTAAGGGAAACTAAGACCTATTTTAGATTCCCACCTCCAAAATTAGTCATGAAGCAAAAGCTGAAGGGAGAAACTTAATCCCCTTCCCTACTCTACCGCCAAACCAAAGATTATGGTTATGACGATTAAACATATGAGGACAAAAGCTCAGATGGCATCATTTGGAGCCATCAACTTCAGTCAACTTTGCAGTCTTCACCAGTGCAGGATTTGCCATTGTGTAATGTATTATCATCTTAAGACTGTTCTCTGTGCTATTTTTATATTAAGATTAACTACATGCAATTTAGATATTGTGTCTGGCAGCACATTACAAGCAGCTCTCTATTCAACCCTTACTTCTGCAGGTTAATTTTCATTAAGTTCTCAACTCCAGGCTATGTTATCCAAGAAAACCAGCTTAACCACCGTCTCCCTGTAGACTTTCCCAAATCCCTAGGTCTGAGGCACTGCACATTTTGAGACTGACCTCACTGGCCAGATTACTTTCTCCTACACAACTAATTAGTGTTCAGATAGAAATTCTGGCCTTCAAGGTAGCCCTTTACCCTCCGTCCAACCTAGCACCCTATCCTAGCACATTCCAGCCTAGCGGGCATGACTTCTTGAACTGGGATCAGCATATGAGCCCAGGATACATCCTTTCTCATGAACAACTGTAGGAAGAATTCTCCCCTCCTTTCCTTGAACTGCTTAGACTGCAATATTTCTCCTACTCCTTTTTAACACATTTTTTTTTCTCTAAAACAAAACCAAATAAAACAAAACTAGGACAGGCCCCACAAAATTTGCATGGAAATAGCAAAGGCAGCAGCGATGAGCAAAATAGAACAAGAATGAAACTTTGCAACTCTCCCTATTAACAAAGCAAGTAATAACTCGAGACATGGCATTATTTAATAACTGCATTATCACAGAATCATAGAATGGCTGAGGTTGGAAGGGACCTCTAGAGATCATCTAGTCCAACCCCCCTGCTCCAGCAGGGTCACCTAGAGCACGTGGCACAGGGCGGCATCCAGGCGGGGTTGGAAGATCTCCAGAGAAGGAGACTCCACAACCTCTCTGGGCAGCCTGTTCCAGGGCTCTGTCACCCTCACAGGAAAGAAGTTCTTCACATGGAGGTGGAACTTCCTGTGTTTCAACTTATACCCGTTACCCCTTGTCCTGCCACCGGCCACCACAGAGAAGAGCCTGGCCTCATCCTCCCTGCATTCACCCCTCAGGAACTTGAACATGTTGATCAGATCCCCTCTCAGTCTTCTCCAGGCTAAACAGGCCTGTCAGTCTTCCTTCATACGATAGATGCTCAAGCAATAGGGAAATAGGCAGTATTACAGCAGACAATTAAAAAAAGCAAACTATGAGGAATTTAACACAGAAATGGGGAGAAAAATCCTAAGATTCCCAAAGGTCTGACACAAGAGAAAATTCCTTCTAGATATACAGGCAGTGAGCTGCATATCAAACAAGACAGGTATCTAAAAAAAATACCTGTTGTTTCTTCCATCTAAAAAAACCTTTTTCCACTCATCAAATCAATTGGGGGGATGAAAAAAAAAAGAAAAAAAGAGCTGTTCACAAAACTGAGATATCTCTTTAGCTAAGACGGGAAGCAACAACTCAAACCACCACTTCTGCTATGTGCCCTAACATTTTCCAGAAAAGTGAATAAGAATGTATGTTGAATACACTGAATATCAACCTAGTTTATAAGCAAATTCATGACCTTTTTGAGGAAGATGTACTTGATTACTCTCAATTCTAGAAAAGATCTATTGTGGATATCTTCATATCTATCCAGAGCAAATAACATAAAACTCTATTATCTCTACAATAAATTATGCACACTGAGTTCATTAAATTCTATAACTTCCTAAGTCTTCTGGATTCTCTGTAATTCAACCGTAAACTCGAAATTTAGTAGTAATAACCTTATGCTAGGCTCTGAAACAAGATTATCCTCTTTATAATATTCCCTTTTATATTATGTCAGAGTATCAAATACATGGTTTTGGTCCTGAAACTACATTGAAAGTGATGGTAAATAGACATTTACAGTAAAACGTAGTCTTGCTGTAATCACAGTTTTCCGAGACCCCAGCATGAATCACGCAGCTCTCGTGGCCGTTGACCCTGTGTTACAGGAACCCGACAGGCCCACAGAGTCACCGGGCAGCTAAGCCAGCCAGAATCTTCCTCCTCTCCCTTCTGCCTTGAGTCTCACCCTCCCCACACCACGTCAAGTCTTTCAAAATCAGGCCAGTGCTGTAAAATCAGTTTGATCACAGTCTCCAAGTGATACAAGAATGGCAAACAGAGCTGAAGAAAACAGCACTGAATATTTCAGCTGTTTTTCCCCCTCTCGTGTCTATGTCCCAGAGGCCCTTGCAGACAAGAAAAGGATATTTTAAGGCCCTCTCCCCTGCACTTCTGCTAAGGACCCCAGGTAGTTTGACTGACCCCTGTGATTCATATTTGCAAAAGGCAAATGGTAGAACGGTGTCAGACAAGAACCAGGAGGTCACTTAGGCAAGAAAGGAAGAAACATAACACAGCTTTGCAACACGGCTCACCCCCAACAGAGCTAGCAAGGATTTATGGAATAAGAGCTGTCTAGATCCTTAGATCTGTTCTCCACAACCTTATTTGAAAATGGAAGGTGAAACACCAGCTAATCACTAGGAAAGATGGAGTTTTGATGAGAGGTACAAGGCCAGATTCTGTAAAGGAATCAAAGCAGCTGTATTGGCAAATATTTGTAATGAATTAATTTATTTAGAATTATTACATGATTTGTAGTTAACTTGAGTTTTATGATGATTTTTTTTTCTATTGAAAAATCAATTTGCCTTAAGAGCAATAGATTTTCAGCAGTACTTATGATAAGGCAGTGCCCGCCTATGCAGGCAAGAAGCCACCTTTCAGATCAGAAAGGATGTGATGATGTCAGAACCGCATTTCAGATTCAGTCATGCCAAAAGTTATAATTTTATTAAATTCTAATAACTTAAAATAACCACAAGCATCAAGTATTGCTATCACGCAATATGAAATATTTCCACCAGATGTCTCCAATATACTGTTTTACACAAAAAAATACATTTCAGTTACAATGCATTCAAATTGAAAACAAGTGCTTAACTATTTTTTTTTCCAAAACAAGGGAAGAAAGCAGACTTTGAATATTCATTTGTTTACATACTGTGTTACACATAAAATGAATACCCTAGGACTGTCTCTGCATTGTTATTAGTTCTACAGTGTTTTCTAAAGAAACAGCAACTTTTTGGATCAACACGATGGTCCAAAGGTTTAAAAGTGGATCCCATGAAATCTCCCTTTTTTTCTTTTTATGATTTATTTATTTTCCTAAAGGGTAGATCAGATCATGTCTTGAGACTTTCATTTTCAAAGCAAAACAAGGTTGTAAATAGTAGGACCAAATTTTGGATAACTAAAAAGAACTCTGATGTATGCATGAACTACTCAAATTATTTATTATATCCTTTATGGATTCCTCCTACTCACTATCTTGAAATATTGACCAATATTCTTCTCAGTTTGAATTTATTAATATAAGCAATATTAGCTCAATATGTATACAATCAGAGTGAGAGCAGAATTTCAAGGACATAAGGGAAAATTCAGTGTTCCTCATTCTCAGACCTGTACCAGTGACCTGTGTTTTCAAAAACACCTTTGTAAATCTTTGGCACTTATCTGTGTTTCAAAGTAGCTCTTGGTATATCTGAAGACACAGAGTTCAAAGCTTTGCCCTACAAATGCTTATATATGTGAGCAACTGTACCTACTGGATACAAGTAGTTCTAACTCAAAAAGCCAGCTCATTTATTCAAACTAGGTCACACTTGGAAACGCAACACTCGAGTGTGTGTGGGATCAAGGCTAGAAATCACCTATTATTCACTAGGGGCTGAAGCAGGGGTTGGTGGCATGGGGTGGATTGCTGTTTTTTTTAAAAAAAAACATAGCCTTATTTTCAAGGTTCTCAATGTATTTTACATTTATTTATTATCTTTTGAAATTCTCTTAAAGACAGGGGAGTATCTCTACTCACAAGAGAGAGCAAAACTCACATGCAAGTAAATTACTATTCAGCATCTCAAAATTAACTCTGGAAAGCATCCAGTATCTTTTGGGTACTTCTATTTCACAGCAAGAGCTCTCCTCTCCAAAAATGACCTATAATCTCAACTGACTTGAAGCACAATACAGATACTGAAAGCACAAGAAAGATTCATTCCATTTTACTTATCAATTTAGCCACCTTTCAACCAAAGGAAGAACAAAGAGCATAGAGATGACGAGCCATGCACTGAGACGTCCAGTGATTCAGGAATACAGCATATTAATCTGTGTCTCCCACCTACCTCAGAGATAAATCCCTGAATAAGTTACATTTTCCATAAGAGCAGAAACATGAAAGTTTCAAAAGCTAATCTTTAATATGAACATGAAAGTACTGACTGTTGTGTGGGCAGATTATAAAAATAATTCTTTTAAAACAGATAGCAAAAAAAATAAATCTTTCCTTATTTTCTATTTGTATATATTTCTATTTACTTTCCTTCATTTTTAAGGCCAAATACTCAATCCACAGTATGGAACAGACGCCTAAATTTGCACAAGGTAACAACTGAAGTAATGAAATACAAATTGAAGCTTCAAATATGAATTTTGTTTCCAAATTAAGCAATAGTGAACACAATGAACTCAGATAATCAATGAACTCAGATTTTTTTTTTTAATAGTATTTCCAGAATCAGTTTGGTTACCTAGAGTTTTAGGGTCCAAAACAGAAATTGCATGTCTCCATGCCCCGGTGCAAACAGATCTTAGTTCACTAGGCCTGAACCCTAAACTGAGATCAAGTCAGGCCACAACATGAACACGTGCCTGGGCAGGCAGTGCATAGATATGGCAGGTCACACGTACTATTTTGGAGGCAGAGGCATCACTCTGCATTCCCTGGAGTTCAGTTTGGACTTCCATTCTAGCAGCATATCACAGTAAGCAAGACGCTATCATTGCAAAATGCTGCAGTAAAGAGGTACCTGTAAGCATCTACAATGATGCTTGGAATACATCTGCCAGGAGAGTAAGAGACTGCTTACACAGAAACAGAGATCCATAAAGATTATTCTAAAAACTATCTAGGCTACTTCTTTTAAATTTTATTTAGCAGATGGAATCAACTCGCATTATATTTATATGAAGAGACAGGTCACTATAAAGGGGCATAGGAGTTCTACATGCTTCACTACCTGGGAGCAACACACAACTAGTAGGTGCTTTCTATTAGATAAATCTTAAAATAAAAACAAAGCAAAAAAAAGGAAAAGCAAACAGAAAAAATACAGCAGAGCCTTACTCTGGATATACTGCTCAACTCAGTTGACGTTTTACTGGGCAGGGCACTGACATAATCATTTCTAACACTTCTGTAAGGGTCATCTTTAGTTTTTGCAATTGGCTTTCACTTGCATCTGTTAATTTGAAAAACTGTACAGTACCTGTCCAGTATATGCAAAGTCCAGGGCTTGTTTTAAACCCAGGCTTGTGACACCGTGTAAATTCACCTCATCAGCTCCACTTTCAACCATGCAGAGACTGAACATTGCCTAAGAAAAGAAAAGAACTGTTATTAACCATTCAAAACAAGACTTACTGATGGTTCAGGAAGAACAGGAATAATTTTTCCACCTTTACTAACCTTTCTTCTTCTCCAGATCGTAATCATAATCCTGAACAGCAACAGACACAGACTTGCCGGTCAGAATGACATCTATACCAAGTTTTAAATATTACCCCAAAGCAATCAATCTTGCCACAGAGTCCTTTTACTGATAAAAGGAATACAAAAATTTATTCTGGAAAAAACAGAAACAAAACCTTTGGGTATATACACATATATATATATCTCAACTAAGTAATTTAGGTGAAATCAATGGGACCAGTAAAACAATAAAAATTCAAAAATTAAAAATTTGACTCTGGAAAAAAAAATCTATGCACCCAATACTGGAAAAAGTCTCTAAAAGAAAGAAAAACAATAAACTATACACGATTACTTGTACAAGAAGTACTAAGTTTGTTAGGAACAGTTAATACACCATCCCTTATAAAGAATCCCATGCAAATGACACCTCACACCGGAGTGTGAGCCGTGATCCCCAAGTAATTGAATGAAGAGTCAGAATGGAGGTGTAGTCACTTAAAATCAAGATGCGCCTCTCCTTGTTACCTTCCCACTTCCACACCGTTTCAGTCCCCTGCGTGACACCTAGGCTGCCGGTCGGTGACATTGTGTGGAACCTCCTTACGAGTAACAGCGAGGAGAGAGGCTGCCCTTTTCCCCCACCAACCTTCGAGGCCTTGTGGACTGAGGCAGCCATACAGGGAGCCCAAGCCCGAACAGAGCTCTCTCCTCGTCACTGTAAAGATTAAATTCCTGGCTTTGCCTCAACTCCTCTCCTAGACTGCACTTACTGCTGCCTCCCTATCCTCTTATCAGCCCTGTTCTCCAGGCCAACACTTTCCCAGGACCAAATGTGCTCAGGGACTTTAGGAAAAGAACAACTCCAAGTTTCTTGCAGACAGCAGCACCCAGTACAACAGAACAGAAACCTTTTTCTTTACCACCCTCCCACACATATTTTAAGCAAAATATCTCACACAGTTTTTAGACAGTAAACTGTGAACAAATAAATCAAACAGTTCTACCATCTGTCATAGCTGAAGAGAGACTAAACTTATCCCTGGTGGGTTTTGTGTAACATCTAGTTCTCCTACGCAGTGGAACTCCAGCGGGCAGGACCGCAACAGCAGAGCAGCCCCGTAGCTCCTACGACGCTGCGTCCACCCTGGCTGACACCTACAGAGGCCGAGGCCCTCAACACACCCACGGGATTTCCTATGGGCAACTCGCACGCCAGCTACTGCTGAACTTCAGCAAAAGAGTAGCCCTGACACCCTAAGCCCAGCACTGAGGATTCGCCTCAGCTCGAACGACTTCTTTCAAGCACTGTGGCTCCTGCGAGCTAGTCAGGTCATTGGAAATGTCAGCCTCTTTCATCCCACTGAAATGCAATGGTTTGACACAAACCTGCTGCCTGGAAATCAGCCAGGATAAGCAAACATGACATTTATCACATGGTCAGTGCTACACTTTTGCAATTTCTATTCCAATTAACTGTTATCAAGACTTCTTCCAACTGGCAAGAGAAAAGAAGTGTCAAATAGTTTAAAAGATTTATTGCACTAATGTAGTAAGATACAACCATATGAAATATTCCTAGCTAGGAGGAGAAAAAAAGAAAACAGCAAAACACAGAACAAATTGAGCAGTTTTTCTAGTTCCATTGAAATTCCCTGATTACATTATCAGGATTGAACGCTTCATTTTCATTTAGCTATATAACTACTAGTAACTATTGTGAGGATCCACAGTTTGCTGGGAGCTGTAGGGCACCCATCAGCCTTCTGCCCCGTGCAGGAGCAAAACTGCTCCTCGTGGCAGCCAGAGAGAACTCAGGGCAGCAACTGGCTGCCCACAAGGCTTGGGCAAAACCCTGCCCTGCCTCTGACACCTCTGACTCCTTTGGGAGGTGCTGCCTTCCTGCATGGCTGAAAATAGTGACTCATGTCAAGGGCTAAAGATGCGCAGTTTCATCCAACACTGTCCTCCACATGCTGCTGGTCAGGCTTAAAGATAAAATAAAGCAAATACTGATTCACTAGTACCCCGGGTTTTAGAAACATCTAAAAGCAGAATAAGCAGATGCAAGCCTATTCTGAATTTAGCTACTTTCTGGTTGCCAAGTTGAGTTAATAAGACTTGGCTCAGCTTTCTAACAACAGTTCTAGTCAAAAGCAAACAAACAAACAACACCCCAAGCTATGATCGTTGCCTGAAATTAGGCTGGATATCTCCCTTTCCAGGTGCTTACCTTCCCTACCTAAAATCCAGATCTACTTACAATCTGGAAGTGTCCTGGACACAGGAACTAGGGATTTAAAACACACATCAAGCACCTCTTGGCTGCTGCTTTCAGCTCCGAGAGGAGAGGGCTGACATTTGTCCTCGTGAGCCTCCTCCAAGTTATCTTCCACTTCAGTTCTGGGGCACAGACTGGCAGCAAGGGCTTCCTTGCCTAGGATAACCCTTCCCTGCTCTCTCCCCTTAGGTTTCACACTGCAGTTTCCTCTCTCTCACCAAGCTCAGGCTTCTGCTCTTCAGACGACACAGGCTACACCTGTGTTGGGCGGTGGTGGGGCAGCTCTACAGAGCAAAGGTGGTGGCGCTGGGAACCCACCACCAGCACCTACGGTGCTTTGGGAGGGTGCCTGGCCCTGTTATGTGCCACATAATGCCTGGAATGCATCTTCCAGCTTTGGTTCATGCTGAAGGAAGCCAGTCTGCACTACGAGGTCATGGTTAACAGGAGCAAGAAGAAGAACTTTACAAGGACACCCCTGGCCCAAACTACGGTGCTAATCTGGCTACCTCCACAGCTGCAGTTTTTGCAAGGTCACGGCCCCCACTCCCGTTGCAGCCAAGGGCTTGACTTTAGGATATGAAACACACACACTGGGCAGGCCTTTCTGGGCTCGGGAACTGAAAGTCAGGATCATGTGAACTAACAGAAATATCTAAAAACAAATCATTTTTCACTCCATGTAGACTGATTTCACAGGCACCCCTAAGCCTCCATTGGAGCTAGTATCACATACTGGTTGTTAGAAAAGGAAACTCAGACACAAACTTTTTTTTATGAAGGTTATGAACAGTGATGTGTCACCAGCTAAGAAGAGCTCTTGTGTTGACCCTGTCGGCTAGTTTTTCTAGGTATTTTCTGGATGCTTTTACTGGGATTACTTGCTGCCCATTGCATGCGACAGAAGTGTTTCTAATCCCTACACTGATTACAGTTTCAGTGGAGAAATACTTAAATGGTCAGTGGGAATGGTCGTAGATCTGTTTCCTGAGTCATCCATGTTTCAGTACATTGGAATGGAGCACCTGCCGAATCTCCTGCAGCATTAGCTGTAAACACATTCAGTCATGGGAACGATTATCACAGCATGAATTGTACTCCCACCACAAGAATAAAAAGCCCTCTGTGGCAGGGAACTGCACATATTGAAGTGATTGTACATGACAGCACACGATGATGAGAAGGGTAATGCAAGACTCAAGACGAAAATCATACCAGATCACTAACAGAGGAATATTTAATTTGCCATTTTTACATACTGAGCCTTTCAAAAAGGACGACTTTGTTAAGCACAAATACATTCCTGGTAAAGATCTGCTATGCTTTGCAAATGGATGCATGATTGCTCATGTTATGACTATTACTTTTCATTAAATTATGAATTTTCCATATAAAAAGTGTTTTTTTGTGCTTGCTAAGCATTAACCAATGAACAATTATATCTTCATATATTTAAGCTATATACATGCCACTTTTTTAAACATTAGGCATTGTCAGTATGTCTGAAAGAACGTCATGCTACAGTTACAAAATACACTGTGCCTCAGTGGAAGAAGGAAAAATGTTGATCAATTTCTCGTACACAAATGAATTTACACTATTATTAATGACACAGTACCAAGTGTTCCATGTGTCAACTGCTTCTATTTATACTAAGCAGTAATTTAGCACCTATTATGTTGCAGAAGTTCATTCTATTTCACATGTGCCCCAGCCCGGAACAGAAAAACACTGGCTGCAATACTGAGTTTATTTAGAAGCTGTGATCATCTTTCTTGCTGCAAAGCATACAAGTTAGATATGGCTTGTAGGTAGTCAGTGTTTTTCATGAACTGGTTTTCATGGATGCACATGGACTACCTGGACTTGAAGAAAAATGTTTTTATTTCTTTTTCTTTCTGCAAAGGTGTATTTCCAAAGCCAGGAGCATCTGTTAAGTATTCTAAACTTACACAGAGGCTCTTCTTTTAACCACATTTGCCCTGATGCATCTAAGATAAAATATTTACCTGTGTCACCATATCTATATGTACTTCCTTTTTTATGAAGGCAAACTTCAGATCTCAGAAATTCATAGTCAAACAACAAACTTACCAGACAGTGCTCCTTTGCCACCTGACTCCCTGAACAAACAATCTCGGAGCGATATTTGTTTGCACAGCTCTCGCCTGGAGAGACGTGCTCACCTCCTAAGCCCGCCGCAGCCTCGCGGGCTGCTTGTGGCAGCCTGCAGGTGCCCAGTGACACATTTGCTGACTGCACTGCAGCCACGCGGTCCCAGTCAAGGCCGCTGCAGGTGGCCCCGCGACGCTCTGACTGTGTTTACTGGTTCCCTGGCAAGTCTGAAGATATTAGCCCAGCTTTAACTCATTGTCCAGGTACTGCAAAAGTCTCAAAAGAGAATTTTGATTCATGTGTTTACGCAGTTAATACTGTAATATTACGCGACCCCCGCGTCGGGTCCCGGCAAGGCCGCACTTGTTCCGCGCCACACGACGCGTCTCTGCCGACTCAGCTCAGCTCCCCCGGCACCTTCCAGCCCTGCGAGCTGGCAGGGGAGGCTCCTGGCAGCTGCCCTCCCGCAGGTGCCTTCACCTTCCAGCCCGGAGCGGCCAGCACGGAGG